CGTGACTCTATCCATCACTCTTTCAAGTAAATAAATGCATCTCTAAAAGAAATAAACATTTTTCCTCACTTCTGTGACTTCCTGGGGAATTACAAGTGAGCTGAAGTCTGCTTCTCAGTGTGTGTTTATGGAGAGGGTTGATACCCAGCTGAGCCCTTCCTGGCAACTCTGTCTTCTAGCCACTACATCACACCCACAGATCAACCTCATCACCCTCATTGCTCAGAGGTGGGAACTGACTGACAGGTGGGAATTCACACACCAGAGAGCTCACAGGACTTCTGGACAAGAGAAGCAGGAACATCCTGGTGCTTGGAGACAGCCCATCTTCAGCCACTCTAGCCAGCCAGGGATTTTCCACTGGCCCATAGTTCTATATTCAAAATGGCTTCAGTAGGAGAACAGAGGCAAGACAAGAGAGTACCTGGCAATGAAGTAAGGCTCTCTGGTGCAGGATGTGGGAGTCTTAGTTAGCATCCTAATCCCCAGGCGAATGCCTGTCTACCCGCCTTGTTTCTGCACTGATGAGCAGTTGGATGATTAGCACTGGTCCTGGTTTGGTCACTGACTGGACTGTTGTCATGCGTTACAGGACCCGTCTCCGATGTTCCATTCCTCATGAACATTGTTTCAGTGGGTGGGAAAAAAATTTATTTGACTAGTTCTATTCCTAATTACAAAGATCATCATCTCACAGCATGGAAACTCTGAGAAGCACAAAGAGAACACATCGCTCCCAATGACATGACTGTCATTATCATGCTCACACCCTAACAGCATCTTTCCTCTTAGTGTCAGTGAATGAGGTTGGGCACATCTCATGAAACTGAGAAACTGCTCCGCAATGACCTGCAGCTGCTTCTTGCACTTACGATGCACTCCAAGTCTCTTCTTTTCCTCTTCTTCACCAACGTGTTTCCAAATGACCATGTGGCAGCCTATCCTGCGGGCATACTCTAATTTCTTTAACCAATTCCATATTCGTAAATATTAATACTAACTCTAATTGTGCATGATTAGAAAAAAAATCACAATGGTTTCCCAGAAAACGCTTAAACATAGCCCTAGTTATTTCCTTAGGACCAATTGCTCACAGCAGAATGATCTGATTAAGTGATTAGCACATTTTGAAGGCTTTTATATAGTTTGCCAAACTTTCCTCCCGAAAAGATTATCTAATTTTTATTTCAATCAACAGCTTATGAGGTTGTTTCCTATTTCCTCATTAACAATAAGCATTTGCCAAATCAATGAACACAAACACTGTTTTCCACTTGCATCTCATTGACTGAAGTCTTTCTTTTCCAGTGTCTGTGGAGTCTCTGAGGGATTGAGTACTTTAAAAGTCCCCAGTGTATTCTCTCACTGGAACTCACAGCCCTTTGAAGCAGCAGGTGGAAGACTTTGCTTCAACAGAGGAAGAAGCTAAGGCTTGGACAAACCCAAGCGCTGTGCTGAGCTACCACCTGTGGGAACTTGGGGGACATTTCCAACCTCCCTGAGCTCAAGGGAATGTTCTAGAATTTTCTCCACTCCCATCACATGGAGTCCCACACTCTAGTGAATCAGAAAGCTAGAGGGATGTTATAATATTTCTCCCCCAAGTACAATGACGTCTGCAGTCTACACTTCCAGGGTCTGCTCTCCACTACAGTGGGAACTTGCTGGAAAGGGGCTGGACATAACTGCTGGCACCTCAGGGACCACACACACACAGTAGGACCTCCATATGTGCTTGTGGATTCAATGCATGAATACTGGAGAGAGCCCTTCTCTCTGAACCCACTGCTCATATACCCATCACTATGTTTGCTTCAGGACCTTCACATAAGCTATTTTTCTTCCTGAAATTATTTTCCTCAATTTTTTTTAGCATGAAGCCCTCAGCACTGGGGCTCAGGTCAAAGGTCACCTTGCCCAGACAAGGCAAGGAACCCTGTCTTGTGCTTTTAGGATATTGTGCCGGTTGCCTTCATAGCTCTTGCCAGCATTGAGACCCATAGATGATGCAGAAATTCAAGGCCTGTTTCTGTCATTAAGCTGCAAAAAACGAAGGTCATATGATGATCTTGTCTGTCTCTATCACTTATGTGTCCAGTCCATGCGCCCACCAAACACAGCATAGGAATCCAGCAATGTGTGCTGTGCTTTTTGATACCAATCCAATGACAAAACCACATGAGCACTTGAATATTGCATCCTTAATCCTACCAATTCAGTAAAACAATTCATCGCACCATTGTCTAGAACCCAGAGGGGTTAACCTGTATCTTACAAAACAAGTGTCCCTTTTCCAGTAGATAAAACTTGTTGTGAACCCATGTTTGTGTGATCTTGCCAGTGGTGACAAATGTTGGGATAGTGGAATTAAGATGTTTTGGATAAGGACACTACATGTGTATTTGAATTATGTTTTTCTGAAAGAATAGAACTAATCAACTCCATGATTAATAAAAATCCGTTTGGGAGATACTGTTTTCAAAGGCAATCTGTATTTTAACTAAACCCATCAAACTAAATTTCTATATCATCAGCACTCATTCAGTGAAACTTCATTAATCCAATCCCTCGAGGCAGGAAGGTCACTGACCTGGTTTTTCCATTGCACTTGAAAGCAACTGAATTGTCATTTCTTTATAATTAATTCACACTTTGGGGAGGTCTTTGCCTAGGCAAGATCTCCAGGGATGCAAATCCGATGAATAATTTGCAACCAACAAGCCAATTGTCTCTGCTTCGAGGGAGAGGGGCGTATTGGTTGGCTTTTGATAACTAGAGGGAAGAACAGCAGTACTGATGTCCTCACTATTTGCTAACCCAGAGGTGTACCACAGGATGAACATACATCCTAAATCCACAGCATTTAAAATATAAACACCTGGCCCTAGTTGTTTGCACTGCCATCCCTCAAACACGTGATTCTTGCAAGGGAATCAGAGAAAAGAGATTCATGGGGGAACAAAGCACTGGGTGCTCTAGAACAAAGGCCTCACTTGTGAATCAGTTGCTTTGCCAAGGCCTACGCACACTCAGTTCAGGTAAGTGGTTGCATTCCAGGGACATAAGCCATGGGGTCACTGGGGGTTGTTTGCAGGCTCTCCTGCAGATGCCAAACAGTCAGGCACTGAACTCGCTTCTAAGAAGGCTGTGTTTGCCAGCAACGACACACATGCCCCATGGACCTGAGATTACCCTTAGATAACAGGATGAATTCTCAGAACTAACATGATGCATGTGCCGGGTAAACGGTCCCATACTGTGTCATTCAGTGAGCAGCATCAAGTTCAGTACAGGTGCAATTTCATATCAATGTATATCCTTGTATATATATGTATATACAGATTTACATATGTAAATTTGGTCTGCGGTTGGCTGAACCTGTGGATGCAGAGCTCACAGACATGGAGGCCACTTGTACTGGGCTCCATCACTTTCAAGTACAATGGAGCCTGCCTAACCCTGAGCTGAGCGGGAGGAAGCTGCGAAGGTTAAACACCAGCAGTTCTTCTCCATTTTTTCCACCTAACATCCTCACCCTTCTGTCAGTAGAAAGAGCAGGGGGAAAAAGAGGGCATTAGGTCCCTTGGACTTTTTCAGCACATGGTTTTTATTAGGCATTAAGTGGCACACAAATATAAGGAACAAGTACTTAATTCTGTCCCTCCCCCCGCCCGCCCCTTAGCAACATAAAAGGACATAATGGCGTAAGGACACTCACAAACAAACATACTCACACTCACACGTACGTGGACAGACTTGGCCTCACATATTACCCTGTTCTCTTTTTTAGGGTCAGTTAATTTTTTTTTTTTTAATAATCAAAAAAGCAAAGCACATTCAGAAGAAAGAAAGAAAAACACAAACTTGGTTTTGAGTATCAATAAAATTAAAGAGCTCTTGGCCAGCTCCCATGCTGGATTGCATTCCACATTATTACTTAATTAGAATTCCTATTTATAAATAAATAGTACCAGTAAAATATTACATCTGAAGAATCCTACAATAATGTTTTACTTACACGCTTTTTTTTTTTTAATACTGTTCTCTGCTTTCGATAAACACAGTCCTCATTGGCATCAGGTATTGGTGTGACTTCTTCAGAGAGATATCCACGGTGAGCAGGTAGGTCATGCCTTTTCTCCAGCAACTGTGGATTTGGGTTTGCATCCCACTGGGTCATCGGCAGTGGAAGATTGGAAGCTTGGAGCTGGCTTTGTTTTTGTTTTGTTTTTTTTAACCAGGAAGAATATTTATTTTGACTTTTTTTTTTTTCACGGCCCTTGTCAGCAACAGAGCTTGCTCCCTGCTTATCACAGTCCAGCCTACATGTACAGCAGGGCCTTTTAAGTTGTTCAAAGCAAGCTTTCCGGACAGGAAGCTATAGGCCACGCTGGAGCAACAGACGGCTGGAAAGACCCGAAGCCGCAGGGCCGGCTAAGATAGGACACCAGATGGAACCCCTTGTTATCCAGACTCTAACAGAGGGGACAAATCTGGGCGCCATGGTGATATGGAGTGCAGGGTGGGAGGAACAGGCAGCGAGGGGCCTTTTCAGAAACATCCCCCAGCAGAGGTAGGTGCTCTGGGGAGAGGGGTGGCGATCACCAAGGGGAACCCCACAAGTACAGATTTGGAAACCTATTTGCCTCAAGACCTCCCCTCCCCGCGCTCCCCAGTAAGGGACTGGGTCCCGTCAAGAAAATGGAAAGAAAAAAATATATTATGATTTATTATATAACAAAGTCAACATCAACGCCAAGACATGGAAGCTTCAACTATGCACTAAGAGACCCTTGATGAGACAAAGTATTTGGATCCCTCAGGAGGCCACCAGGAGGGCGTCTGGGTCTGGCTGGCAAGTGGTGGCCCAGGAAGAGTGCACCGTGGGTGGAGGACTCTTCCAATCCCATTTGCTTGTTGAGTTTGAAGACAAAGCAATGAAGTCACATGGTTCAAACTGTGGTTTCAAGCAACAGATTGGATCCACGTCCAACGGCCTAGAGGGCAGAGGTGGTCTTGGGGGCACTCGAAGTCTCTTGTCCACGGAGTTCTCTTTGTCACTGTTTCTCTCCTTCTGTCTCTTTTTCTTTCTCTTTCTCTCTCTCTGGTAGGTGTCTATGGTGATGCAGGTTCCACTTTAGCTGTTCTCACTCCACTCTGGCACCATACCAACTCCATGCACAGAGTGGTACTGGTGTGGGGACAGGGTCCTAGGCACGCCGTGAGAGTAGAGGAACTCGGGGGGCTGCAGACTGCCTGGGGACTGCAAGCCAGTCTGGGGCCCACACTGCCTGACCACAGGTTGGTGGGCCACAGAGGTCTGGTGCTGAAACATTCCCTCTCCAAGCTGTGCAGAACCGTGGTTGGCCATGCCAGCCAACCGAGGGACCAGGGGCCCCGAGGTGAAGTGGGCAGAGAAGTGCTGGTAGGGCAACCGGTCCATGGGCTGCACAGTGGTGACCGTGCAGCTGCTGTAGGAGGGCATGCTGGGCCATGTGTTGCAGCTGATATCCTCCAAGTTGGGCACCGGCTCACTAGGGGGTGCGGAGCTGGCGTACATGCAGGCCTGCCGCTGGGCGGACTCTGTCCTGTAGGAGGCGCTCAGGCCCTGCTGCTGGGGGTAGCTGGGGCGGTAGAAAGGGTCCTCATCACTGGGAGAGGTCTCCATGTAGGGTTTTTTATATGGATGGTCTGTGGTGGAACACTCTTCATCTGCTAAGACAAAAGAAGGAACACCAATGAGGTCGGGACCATCACGCGAGGGGTTAGAGCAGGCTGGCCAAGGCACTGAAGAACTAAGTCAGGCAGACTATTAGCTACAAGCCCCGTTTGATAAAAACAGGAGAGCTGTGATGGTTAAGATCTTGAGCCACAGAGTTTTAAGAGATGGCAGGTCCCTGCTGTGCTGAGTGTCTTCATCTATGGAAGGGAATTGGGAGGCAACAGCAAGTACAAATGGAAAGGGTAATAAAGGTGTCCCCACACCATGAGAATGAAATACAGAAATCAGTAGTAGCACTCCGTCCAAAGCCTGGCACAAGGAAACACTTCATAAACAGCTATGACTGTCATCTTCCATGTAGGCAAATTCCCTGAATTCTGTCTTAGATATCACTGTAGAACTTGAACCTGGTACATACCTAATAATTAACCAAAATAACAGCATTGACAATGACAGTAAAAAGTGTTGACTCCACGTAGCGTTGTTCTTAGCATTCGCCATAAACGAACCCACTTGATCCTCGTATGAGGATGAGGTTCTATGAGGTGAGTTCCACCACTGCCCTCATTCATAGATGAAATGGAAAGAAGCACAGAGAGGTTGAGAAGCCCTCCTGCGCTCTAACTGCTGCAGCCAAATAGTCCGGCCACAAAGGCCTTGCTCTTCAATGTCAGCTCCATGGAGAAAAGAGAAACATTTATACAGTGCACGAATGCACAAATACGTGGATGGATAGATGGATGGGCAGGTGGATGGAGCTTTAAAGGAATCCCCAAATCCTTCCCTGGCACCAACTGTTAACAGGTACCCAGTCAGCATTTGTTGATGATGTGCTGCTGTATGCTGACAGGGCAAGTCACATCCCTGCTCTATGTGCTGGTGATTTCCCAGTGCCGAGCAGTTCTGTCCCTGAGGGAAGACCTGCTTTAACCACTTTGGAGCCATTGGCCCTGCTGAGAACTAGCAATTGTCAGGCTGCCTCCTAGGGAGCACACTGTGAAAGCTGCACATGCGCTCCAAGTCTTGCACGCCACTTTAAGCAGTTCAAGGACTCCCTAGAACTCAGACTCCAGCTGAAGAAGTTTATGTTTGGATTTGGGCCTGCTTGGTATTTTCACAATAGGCAAGACATAGATGCAAGACCCCCTTATGTGCATGATTTTAAAATATTTTTGTACTAAAACAAACCTCTTTTTAGTGCCCTCTTCCATGAAGGTTTTCAAGTAGCATCACACTTCTTAAGAACTAAAGACAGCACTTGTAGGCCTCCTGATCCTCATTCTCAAGAGCAGCTCTTACTACAAGGCTAACACCACCCATCAATCTCATGACAGACCTAATCTGCAACAACGCCTTCCAGCGGTTTCCTTCAGAGGAGGCACTAGTTAGAAATATTCACCAAAGTGTGAACCTGAACACGGATTCATTCCTTAGCTGGCATCTTACCCGCAACACGGATGACTTTCTTGACTCCTCTCCCCATCTTTTCCTAATCAATGAATGACAAGAAATGGTGTCTTGCCTTTAGGGTGGTTAGCAAGAAAGATGAAACAAGAGGGGTATCCATGCAAACTGCTGTGCTGGCCAAGGGCCATGAGGGCAGAGCACTAGGATAAGTTATAAGTAAAAAATGATAAAGAGCTACTATATATAGTGTACTTCCTGAGGGACCTTATTCCAATCTCATCCATTGCAAAACCTCAAAGTGTATGCTCTCATTCCTTTTCTACAGAGGCAAAAATGGAAACCCACAGAGTGACTTGCCCAAGGTCACACAGCTGGGAAGGAGCGGAGGCTGAAACCTGATGTGATTTCCAGTTCCATCCAGCTTTCAGCTCTGTGGTTTTCTCAGGTTCGATGTCCCCACCCAGACCCCCAACAGGGCTTTACTCAGCGCCTTCTGAGTGCCAGAGACTGGGGTGGGCACTGTAGGAAAGCAGTGGACAGTTGGATAGGATCCTGTGCTGCATCTGAGGTCCCACTGCGTGCTGCCCTGAATCATGAGAAAGGCACTCTAGAATGGCACATCCTTTGTCTTGGAATGCCTCTACAGCCACTTCACAACCCTGATGGTGTACGTTGGGCTTAGGTTCCCCCAATCACCTCTATTCGCATCTTTGTCCACGGGACACCCATGGGTGAGTCAAAAATTTCTCCAATCAAAGTACATTTATGTTAAGGTTCTGCCCATGTAACATAGCCAGCATGTTTATTTTTAGCTACACTCTTTCTGGAACACATCTGGGACCCATAGGACTCCCAAAATGTTGTACCAAAAAATAATAATAATAATAAAATAAAAGTGAAACATGCAGTCACTCTTCCAGGTGTTCTTTCCGCAGCATGTCAGCCATCCAGATGTTTGAAGCCCTCCAGATGAGCAAGCAGCCACATTATTCTCCTTTCAACTGGGCATACTTTTGGAGTCCCAAACACGTCACTCCACTGGACTTGTTTTTGTCCCTGCCACCTCCTCCCTTGGTTTCTTCTCTCTCATTCTTCCTCCTACTCGACCTCCCCTGCCAGATCCATAAATCTGAATGTTTCCATTGTTGCTGGAATCATAACCTTTGGGATTTTTATTTAACCGGGGCGTTCCCCTTTTCAATAATAGAAAGTACAGCTGCAGGGTACCCTTGGCAAGAGAAAAAAAAAAAAAAGAAAAACAAGGCAAGCTAACCATTCCCCACTTTCTGATCCCCTTCCAAATTGGTTACAAGTAAAAAGGAGAATAATAGGGAAAGGGCCGGAACACATTTTGGAAAATCGTAAAATTATACATTCCAGTCTTTAATACCCCAAAGATCTAATGCAGAGCCCTAAGAAAAACTCAACGCTGGCCTGGTAATGAAAGCAGGTCTCAGATTCTCTAGATCTCATCACATTGTAAAGAAATTCCAAAGCGGGGATCCAAATCGCAGGTCAGTCATGACATACATTCTGAACCTAACCTCCCTGTTTGTTTGGTTATGGTTTGGTTCCTTTCTTGTTACTGGGAGTCTAAGAACCATTTCCCCAGAAGGATTGTCTGCAGCCAAGTCGTGCCCAGCCTCCCTGGCTGGTGAATGGGCAGCAGTCCAGTGTCTGTCTCTTGCTGACTTGAGTCATGGTCGTGTGCTAAGAGTTGTCGAGGCCATTCTGATGATCTTGACCCCAGTGGTGGCTCTTGGATACGTGACCCTCTCCCTGGCTCTGGTGACCTGTTCAGGGACAGGCAGCACTGTGAAACCCTGGTCCCTGGGATTTTTCTGGATTTTGATACTGGATATGGTGACTTCAGTAACGAGCTCAGGACACAGACTAGGAAGGCATGGAACTGGGGCTCTGGGGCTCACTGGCTATGAGATCATGAATGAAATCCCAATCCTGTAATCTTACTTCCTGATGATAAATGGGACAATACCTAAATTGCTGTGAGATCCTACTGAAATAATGCTCTCTGCAATCTAATTTCTATCTTCCTTACCCATAAAATCACCACAGAGCTTTTAAAAATCCCTTAGTCCCATGATCATCTGTGTAGAAAATGTTATAGAATCTAGCAAAAAAAAAAAAAAGCAAACCCGCACAACCTTATAGATATTAGTGAGTCCTACCTCTTTATTCAAATGTTCATTGTCCGAATCACCCAGTCCTTCTCGTCTCTCCCACCCCCCCTCTCTATCTCTGTTCTCTCTCTTTCGGAAACCTGAACAGATGGCTCTCTGAAGGTCATCCAATACTTGAAGGTATTTGGGTGGGTTCCAGAGCTGGAAAGCTCACAGAGCAGCTTGCAAATCACTAATCCTATTGAGCAAATATTGTCACAACTCCCAAATGGGTCGTTTTCTTTGCCTAGGAGTTGGTTCAGATGAAAACCCAGTGCAAATTCCTCACACACTCACACACCACACACACACACACACACACACACATGCACACGCACACACGCACACACACACACACACACACACACACACACCGGAGTCCAGAGTGGCCAAAGGCCTTTACCCAGCTGAGTGACCTTCAGCGAGTCAAAGTGGGAACAGAACTGAGGCCTCTTACAAGACACAGTTCTTCCTCTATTTGCACCCAACACAGCTTAGCCAATATGGAAAGATAGCGATCCTTGATCCGTACATGGATGGATGGACAGGTGGAAGAACAGGTAGACTCATCTGTGTGTGTATGCATGTGTGTGTGTGTGTGTGTGCATGTGTGTACATGTGTATGCATGTGTTGCTATACCTGTCCAGAGTCTTAGGGACTCTGAGAAGCTGCAAAGCTAGGAACCAAAGGATTTAGCCTCTAAGCTCACTTAGTTACTCTCTGAAACCATGAAATCTTTCAGCAGGCTAAATCTCCAGCTTGTCTAGTGTAAGCAGCCCTTACTCTTTAGTGTATGCTCAGCCCCAAACACAATGTCCACAACACAACGATGAGTATTCATATGATCTACCTCTGGTCGACCAGGTAATCTGACTCCAGCTCAGGCTCCTCGTGCTGTTTGTCTCCTGCAAAGTAGGAGTGGCAGATTCAGGGAAGCAAAGGGTGAAAGCCTGCTTTTAAAAAAATACAGAGGGAAGAATGTTTGCCACAGTGGTTAAGACCCCACTTGGCATGCCCACATCCCATAACAAGAGTTTAGAGTAGTGGCTAAAGTCCTCGCCCTGCACATGCTGGGATCCCGTATGGGCACCCGTTCTAATTCCGGTGGCCCAGCTTCTCATCCAGTTCCGTGCCTGCAGCCTGGGAAAGCAGTCAAGGACAGCCCAAAGTCTTGGGGACCCTGCATCCGTGCGGGAAACCTGGAAGAAACTCCTGGCTCCTGGCTTCAAATCGACTCAGCTCCAGCCGTTGTGGTCACTTGGGGGAATGAAACATTAGATGAAAGAGCGAATGATCCTCTCTGTTTCTCCTCCTCTCTATATATCTGACTTTCCCATAAAAAAATAAATAAATCTTAACAAAATAAAAAGAGTGCAGAGTTGCCTGGCTCCTTGGCTTCTGATCCAGCTTCCTATCAATGTGTATCCCGGGAGAAAGCAGTACTGACACAAACAACAGGGTCCCTGCCACCCACATGGAAGACTAAGAAAGGCTTAGATTCTGGGCTCCAGCCCTATAATGGGCATTTGGGAAAGGAGCCAGCAAATGGAAGACATTCTTTCTCTCTCTCTCTCTCTCTCTCTCTCTCTCTCTCTCTCACACACACACACACACACACACACACACACACACACACACACCACCAGCACCAAGAAAGTGCATCCTGCAAAACCCTTCACAATATCCAATCCCAACTCTCTTCAATCTTTAGCTTCCCTTTGGATTCAGCAAAGGGTACTGCTACAATCTTTGTGTTGCATTTGGTTTCTGATGGGAAGAGAGTGACAGTCTGGGTAGGAGAGGATAAGAAAGGCAGACAAGTGCTCTCCCAGGCCCTGGAGTCCTAGGTTTGATTGAGTGGCATTGATAAAAGACCTTCCCAGCTTTTTTGGCTCAATCCATTGGGAGAGATAGTTTGGAGACAGCCAGGTCCAAACACAAGGGAGCCCCGGTGGCCTGCCGGGCCCTTTGACATTTCACTGGGCCTGCCTGAGGGCTGCTTGGAAAGGAGACAGACAATGAGGGGAAGTCAGATAGCAGGGCAGGCAGGGGCCAGCAGGGAAAACCACCCATGGAGTTATCACTTAACGAGAATCCCAAACTGGAAGGAAACCTGGCCGATTCCTTATCACTCTGCAGTGTGGAGACTGATGATGAATTGCCATATGTTGTCTCCCAGGCAAGAAAGACGGAGCTCAGCTGGAATGCTCCTTGTCACCGAGGAACCCCCTAGAAGGGGTGGAGAGAGAGATGAGAAGGACAGAGGGTTCTGCAAAGGGAAAGGGACTTCTGCAGGGTGCACATCCCATGCGCCCCGAGTTCACAGGCCTTAGCTTGGCGTATCTTAGGCTGCCCTGCTCACTAGCTGGGTGGATGACTTCTGAGCGAGCACCCAACCTCCCCTCGCTTTGGTTTCCGAATCCGTGAGAAAGGGGCCATTTTTTCACCTTGTTATCTTCTATCAGTCACTAAGTCATGGCTCCACCCCCCGTCTCCAGCTCTCACCACACCTCGGCCTCTCTAGAGGTCACTGGTGTCAGTCCTTGTCCCCTCCTGTAACAGTGACTTCAGGGCATAAGCCCCTCCAAGATTGTCTGTTGGCGTGAGAGCAAAATCTTAAGTCTTGATTGAAATGCTGTGCAAAGGCTGGCATCAACCCTGGCCCTGCTGTTGTCTTTGGCTTCCTTTCCCACCACCTTCCTCATGCTCAGGCTCTTGAATCCTGGCCTTTTGTTTGCTCTCCGGAAAGGAGACCAGCTGCTGGCTCACCCAAGGGTATCATGCCATCCTTCTCTCTATGCTTGATACCCATTCATCCCCCTTCCTCTAGCCAACTCCTGTCACCAGATCCCAGCTTCCATTCTTCCTCCATTGACAGCACTCCAATATGACAGTTGTTGGCACTCTTTGCCCATTTCCTTGATAGCATTCAATCACAACTCTATCACAGCCATCATATATAATCGCTAGGGTAACACTTGGCTTGCGTGCAACCAGGTGTGATCCACAAGAAAGCTGTAGCGGTCACCCAGTTCTCACTTCTGCCAACACTGTTCCAGGAATTCCTCAGGTGTATCATCTCATTTCCTACCATCTCAGTCCTAGGAAGCAGGTGTCTTTGCCGCCCCCACTTTGAACACAAGGTCGTAATACCCACAAAGGGGAAGTAGCGTGTCCCCAAGCAACACAGCTGCAGATCATAGGCTTCTTCCTGCAACGACCCAGCCTCCAACTCCTTCTCCACCAGAGGCCACCCCAAGTTGATGTGAAATTCACTTGAGGGCCATGTGATGATCTGTGAAACTCAACCACTCATACGGTCCAAGAAGTTGACCCAAACCTCCATTGGGAGCCTTCCCTTACACCCTTCCAGAATGCATTTATAAGGATGCTATTCTAAATATTAAGCCTTAAAAAAAAAGTGCCTTGATTTTTTTTAAACTTCTTCCTTCCCTGCTTTTGGTCTGGTATTAATTTAATCGACAGAACTCCCTAATTCAAACCTGGTGGGCTCTTCATCTGCCTGAATGACCTGGTCTCCAAAGCACCTTTCTAGTAGGAGGTGAAATTTTGAACGTGCAGCTGAGAAGCAAAACAGAATTGAGTGGTGGTTTCAGAAATGCTGGTTATAGTGTCTGTGGAACAGCAAATATGAATTTGAATTCCACTCTCAACAACTATGGGAACATTTTCTTAAAAGAAAAAAAAAGAAAGAAAAAATGCTTTGTGAGCCTCAGTTTCTCTGTGTATAGACTGGGTTAAGAAAAGCACCAAGTAAATGGCCTTGTTGGAAAGGCCTGGGTGGAAGCAAAGAACTACAACATGAAACACACTCTCTGTGCAGGGACCTGCACTCCATGTGATGTCCCGAACCTCTTGCCTGAGCCAGGAGGCCGACGCGTTTGCAGGCATCTGGTCTCCAGCCCATCCGGCAGCAGACGTGCTGGGAGTCAGGCCAGGGGGGTCTGTTGGGCTGATATTGTTCAGGCCTTCAAGAACCAGGGAGCTTAGATAGACTTCAGGTAAGTCTAGAAGTCGGGCCTTGCTGGGGTCAGTTCCTCAGGCCCATACTCTCAGATCAAGGACAGCTTTTCAGAAAGTAAGACAGGCGCTTGTCAAACTCCGCTGCTCCCTTTGGGGGACCCCAAGAATGCTGCCAATGGTTATTGTGAGCAAGCTGGTTTGTTACTTTTTTTTCCCCCAAGATTCAGGCACTAGGCACCAGACTTCCAAAGGCAATGCACTGGTCCCTCTAGTGTTAACTTCAAAGCCCTTTAGAGTAAAACAGTTGCCACTCACTGAGTCAGCCCTGAGCCCATATGTGACACCCGTAGTTCCATGACTTTGTGCCAAGCCTAGAAGAAAAGTCCTGCCGTGACCACAAATCCGCAGTTTGTTTAAAACATGAGGTTTAGTGAGTTGGCTCTGTCCTCAAGTTTCCAAATGGCAAAAGCAGGATTCACCCAAGTTGTTCCAAAGTCCTGCCCAATTCAGATAGCATGCCCTCTGAGGAACGGGGTGGAACCAAGACAAAGGAGTCAAGGGCACCTTCAGTTTTACCTGCGTGGTGGTAACCTGTTGTGTCTGTGCTGCTGACACATCAACAGATGTCGCCGTGCACAATGGGCCACCGCCAGGAAGGGAGGAAGAGGTTGGTGAGGAGGCACGCTAGGCCGGGGCTGTGTCACTCACCTTTCCTCTTGGTGCAGTGATAGATCTGGCTGTGCTCCTGGGGCAGGGGATACGGGTTGGGCGGAGGCAGAAGATCCTGTGAGGGGCCAGAGACACCGTTCTCACACTGGTACTGGGACCCCAAGTTGGAGGAGGTGGACAGAGCCCGAGGCTCGCTGCTGAAAGGGCTGTGGTTGGAGGCTACCTTTTGTCTCACTGTGCTCCTGGGAACCACGGGATACTCTTTACTGAAAGAGAGAAGATGGGAAATAGTGTTTATTAGTGCCCTGGAGAGCTGAGCCATGGTCAGAAAATCTATCAGCAAAGTCACAGAATGAGAAGCCAAGGGGTGGGGGGTCAGTGATGAGCAAAGAAATGCAGTTCCACTCTTGGATATCACGTGCTGTGGATGTCCATCTAGGCACCAACTTCTCCTGGCTTACAGTCAAGTGAGTAAGTTGATGAAGGTTTCTAAACATGGGCAGAAAGGGAAGTGAGCTCCCCTGGGTTAAGAATTCCTTACGGAGGGTCTCAGCCGTGGACCACGCACCCAGGTAATGTGGCACAGCGGCAGCATTCTCAATAAAGAAGCACCAGAGGCAGTTATGGTGAACTTGTCCATTTATTAGCAATTAAGCACAAGCTTATACAGGGCGGGTCCAGGGAAACAAACCTCGGGGTAGTAACACTATTTCTATTGGATATAAGCACATATTACATATTATAAGCCTAGCCAGTCAGCACAACTGCCACGTACTTTGCCAGGTGGAACTGTGTAGCCCACCACCACATATATAACTCAACCGCATCCTGGAGTTGTTTATTACAGACTATCACAAGATTACCACAAGATGGGTATGGGCCAGGAAAGGCAGGAGGAGGTTACCACATTACTGGACAGTACCCGAATTACCAGAAGAGGTGGAAGGAGAGGGAGACGCCTGGAGGGTTCTCGGCTTCTCGACAGCTGCGTGGGTTCCCAGGGGTCTCAAGGTACAATACAGACAGAAAAAGCTCAAGGCATACTCCAAAACCAAGGGGAGGTCTCGAGTCCCTAGACATGCACCGAAACCTTGCTCCTGCTGCCCCTTGCATAGACTGAGTAAGCTGAGACCCATCCTGGCGCTCACGTACGCACAATCCCTCATGGCAGGCATGGTGGCACTGTGGCTAAGACACCACTCAGGATGCCCATGTCCCATACCAGAACACCTCCTCTTCCTCCTCCTCCTGGCTCAAGCTTGGCTCTGCTGCCACTGACCCAGCTTCCTACGAATGTGCTTGGGAAGGCAGGAGATGATGGCCGAGTGCTTGGTGCCTGATGTCCACAAAGAGAGATGTGAATGATGCTCTTGCCTCCTGATTTTGGCCTGTCCCAGCTCTGGCTCTTGTAGCCATCTGGGAAGTGAATCAGTAGATGGAATACCTGTTTCCTTTTATCTATGTGTGTGTGCGTGTGTGTGTGTAATTCTGATTTTCAAATGAATAAATAAATCTTAAAAAAAAAACCAAAAAGTCAGATGACAGGCTGTCACACTTCACCTTCAGACACCCACCCTTAAAACAAGGCTGATACTGTTTGTGACACCCAAGAAATGGAATCAACCAAGGCGTCCATCATCAGATGGAAAGGACAAAGAAAAGGTGGTTTAAACACAGTGGAATACTATTCAGCCATAAAAAATAAAAGCCTGCCATCTGTAGCCGAATGGGTGGAACTGGAGGACATCATATTAAAAGCAATAACATATACACACTCATGTGTGGAAGCCAAAAGAAAAAGCAAACAACAAGTAAACAAAAAACCCTAGACAACATCTCGATGTGAACATAGTATGCACAGAATGGTGATTACTCGGCCCCAGGAGAAACATTCGGAATGTAAGGAGCCAGGTAACAGGTGCCAAATTGGACTGGGATCAAACAAATGAGTGCTAACGGTGTAGTGGGGGGACTACAGTCTACAATAACCTAGCATGTATCTCATAGACAGAAGACACTCCAAGTCTACAGACTGAAAGGAATGTGGAAGAAGGTGACATTACAAACAGCCTGATTTGATCACTGTTTTACTTGCTCTGAAATGAATGGTGCACCATTGCCCCCAAACGACATGATGATTGTGAACTTTTAAGAAGAAACTCTTACATCAGGGCAGAAGTCTTTGTCCACAGTTAGTACTGAAAGGTAGCCAGCCACCCAGAATGTTCAGGTGTGCTCTGGGCTACCTTAATCTGAATGCCTGTGCCAGCGCCTGTTCCCTGCTGAGCTGTGATGTCCTGAACTTACCCACACCACCACAGGGATCATATGCATCCGCAGGCCAAAGGACTGTTGTGAGGACAAAATCATGGATGAGATTTGGAAAAGATCTGGCACGTGGTAAGTGCATAACAAAGGGTAACCTTGGTGATTACTGTCAATCTAGGAGAGTGGAGGGAGGAAAGGATGGGAAGAAAAAACAGTAAGGGGAGAGAGAAGGAAGAGAGAAAAAAGCATGGACTCTGAACACAGTAGGAATACAGCCACATCACACCATGTGGAACCCCCAACTGTCACGGCCAGTCAGTCCTCTGCCTTCTCTGACCTTCGGCTCTCCCGTCGGCCACGCCCAGGCTTGAGGCATGGTTTCCTCCATACAGACTCAACAGCGGCCTCCTCTGGGAAAGTGGGGGTGTCATTCAGTACCAAGAATCACAGAGGAAGCACATGGGGTGGTGGAGGGTGGGTTGTATGGGGCAATGGTAGAGGATGCGAATGGGGAGCAGTCCAGAGACAAAACGGACAGCGGGAGTCAGGCATCCGGCCCAGAAGTCAAGATGGGCATGCCCACACCCACTATCAGAATGCCTGCTTCAAGTCCCAGCTCTGCTTATTCCAGCTTCCTGGGAGACAACAGAGAATAATAGCTCAAAACCTGGGGTCCCTGCCTCCCACCTGGGAGACCTGAAGTGAATCCTAGCTCCCAGGTTTGATCTGGTCCAGCTCCAGGTGTCACAGGCATACAAGGAATGAAGCAGCAGGTGGAAGAGCTCTCTCTACCATTCTGTCTCTCTACCATTCTGTCTCTACCATGCTTTTTTAATAAAATACATGCACACATTTCTTTTTTAAGAGGCAAATGAAACCCTTGGGCAACTCTAAGTATTTTAGAATGCATCAAACGATGTCCCATAAATATGTATAAATATTATGTGTCAACGAAACCATTTTAATTAATAAAATGAAAATATAGGAGTTAATGGAAATACCCACATGTGCAGGATGAAAGCAGATTCAGCTGTTAATATCCCATACCCACACAGGGCTGGGAGGGGACCGTGAGTGGGGCATTTATAAAGCACATTTATTGCCAGTCCTAAGTCAAGATCTTGGAGCTTCTTCAAATCTCCCACATGGGTTCAGGGATTCAAAGGCTTGAACTGGCCTCTGATGCTTTCTCCAACCATTAGCAGGGAGCTGGATCAGAAATAGGACAGCTGGGACTAGAACTGGCACCTATATGAGATGCTGATCCCATACCAGAGTGCCTGGGTTTGAGTGTCCACGTCACTCTCCATTCCAGCTTCCTGCTCATATGTATGTACTCGGGTGGATGAGGGAAAGGAAGGGACAATAGGCAATGGTTCAAGTACTCATGTACTTGCTTGGTTCCCTGCCACATGTGTGGAAGACCTGGAGTTCTTGTGTCCTTGCTTCAGTCTGGCCCAGCCCCAGCTTTTACAGGAATTGGGGAAGTGAACCAGTAGATGGAAGAGTTCTTTCTGTCCCTTTGCCTGTCTCTGTTTCTGTGTTTCTCAATGTCTGTCATTCAAATAAATAATTTTAAAAGAAATTTTGTGGTACATCAGGTTAAACTGCCATAGCCTAATCCTCCATCTGTAGTTTTGGCATCCCATATGGTCACCAGTTCACGTCCCAGCTACTTCTGATCTAGCTCCCTGATCATGGGCCTCAGAAAGCAGTGGAAAATGGAGCAAATCCTTGGGCCCCGCACTCACATGAGAAACATGAAGAAGCTCCTAACTTGCAGCTTTAGACCAGTTCAGCTCTGGGCAGTGCAGCCATTTGGGAAGTGAACCAGCAGATGGAAGACCTCTCTGTCTCTCCTTCTCTCTCTGTAGAATCTGTCTTTCCAATAAAAAATAAATCTACAAGAAGAAAAAAAAACCTGCCATTTGTGCTGCCTGTATAACAGAATGCCTGGATCAGAGTCCTGCCTTCATTTTCAAGTTAACTTCTTGCTAATATACCCAAAAAGCAGCAGGTGGTGGCTGAAGTACTTGGGTTCCTTCCACCCACGTGGGAGACCAGTATGGAGCACCTGGCTCCTGGCTTCATGCTAACCCATCCCTGGCTATTGCACATATTTGGAGAGGGAACCAGTGGATGGAAGCTCCTTTACACACTCTATTTTTATTTGATCTCTCTCTCCCTCTCTTTCAAGTAAATAAATCCTTGCTAAGAAAATATATATTTGATAGCTACATTTTGGTATAACTATCTTCCCTAAAACCCATGCATTTCAGGCCATCACTTTCACCACATTACTCTGAAAAGTCGTGCAGCTGCTCCATCCATCAGGTGAGACGGAAACACCTCAGGAAGTCCCAAAATGCAGTAAGTTTCAACTTTTGCCCTGACTCAGAACCATCCATTTTTCATTACATTTTTAGATAATTTTAGGCCAATGATGTTTTAGAAGGCCAGAACCTGTATGCATCTGAAACATCCAAAAATTTACGGGTTTGTGGTATAAGTTAGAGTCCCTATAATGCAAGTGAAGCAAAAATGGAGTCATTAAAATTGAGGCAAAACACACACCAGAAATGTCCACACAGAAAGAGCTACATGTAACACATGTCGAAGAGTGTTTTAATGGCCCATTTCATCCCTGCCTGTACCCCTGCAAGGTGGGTATTCTTTTTGTCCCCATTTCATAAACAAGGACGTGGAGTCCCAGGGAGATTGAGCCAGTTGCCCAAGGTCACAGAGCTGAAAAAATGTACAACCTGAACTCTTGATCCCCTAAACACTTCTCTAGAGTCCCCTAATCACTTTCTTGGATTTTTTTTTTTTTTCAAATACAAAAAGGAAGAACTGAAGGCTCAAGTCTCCCTTCCCATATCTCCCACCCCTCCTGGGTGTAACCATCTCCACCCTGTGCTGTTGACTTTGTCTGTCATGGGAGAGCATGTCAGAGTGGCTAGAAAGGGGACACAGGGCACCTGCCAAGTTTCCATGAAGT